TGTGTGTGTGTGTGTGTGTAGTTTTGTTAAGATTTATTATTTCTAGTAACAGGTTCAGCCCTCGACATTTTTGATCTTTCTGTCATTAAACTAGTGAGACACATTGGCGTCTCGATTCATTATAAAAGAGGCTTACCTTTAATTCTTTGAAAATTGATATTTCTTATAAAGAGGATGAGTATAATAACACTTAAACTTGATTGAAATCTAACCAATCAAAGTATGTGTGGGTGTGGGACGTGTGTGTGTGTGAGTGTGAGTGTTTATGTGGAAGTGTGGAAGGAAAAGGTGTGCGTTGAAGGCTCAGTTTATGGCGTGGGCCTGTCCTTATAGTTATAAAACAAGGTGGGGTTAAATTACAGTCTTTTTAAAAAGGTGGCTTAAAACCGAGCACTGATGGAGATCAGGCGYAATGAAGTGCGCAACGTCGACTTTTACCTAATTAGCGCCCTGGTGGCTCCATATAGTTTTTGTTCGCGCGCGCGCCAGGTTGTGCACGAGCATGCGCAGTACCAGAACTTGAAGAATTTTTATTTTGATATCGTCACGAAAAGTCGGTTGCACGCGTTATTTCAAAAAATAAAAACTCAAAAACTACGCGGTCAAAAATCTTTCAATTTCTACAGTTTTTTCTTCGTAGAATGATAAGGCACCTGACGCAATATAAAAAATACTTGGACAACAGAAAACTTTTTATCTTGACAAATCGATATTTCTTTAATATCTTGGTTTCTATAGTCACGATTTTAATAAAACGCTTTCATGTAATAGGTAACAAAACAAACTTTCATATTACACAATCGGGAAACCCGAGATTTTAATTTCTAATGGCAAAAAGGGCCCGTTTTGTGGCTGACGTGTCGCTGCTATGGTAACTATTCACTTGGTTATTTTCACGAAAAATGATTCCTAAACTCATAGTCTTATGGTTAGCGTATCAGATATCAAGATATGATAATTTCTAGTTCTATTAAGGAACATTAGAAGTAAAGCTGAATATGAAAAGAATAGTGAAAACAAGTGCTTGAGATCCAAACTTCACACAAACCACTCATTTTCATATTTTCGCGACCCAAACAACAAGTTATAATCTACATCTTCTGAGATTTTAGGGGCCGTCAATTATGTACTGTCGGGGTAGTTTTTTCCCAACCGCGGAGCGATTCCCAAAAACACGAAGTCTGGACACAGGCAGCCCATTAAGTGGAAATAACTTATTTAGACGAGGTATATGATTTAAGAAAAACCGTGAAATAGTAAGGCCCCCCCCCCCCCTACAAATAACAACTAAGATAGACACAATAAGTTCCATACAAGTGGGTGAAAATCTTATTGCAAATAAAGAGGAATTCATAAATATCGAATTTTCGCAATATGCATACATACAAAAACCAAGATTGGGCTGCCTGTGGTCTGGGGCCATGTTGGTCTAGTAATTATTTTTAAAAATGCGGGCAAAATTATAGAACCCGTGTTATTGGCTTGACCCACTTGTACTAATTTTTCATCAATAGCAACGTTTCACGGTTACTAAAAATAGATATCGCAAAGCATTGAGGGATCGAAATGTGACAAACATTGCGAGTATCAGTCGAAAAACCATAGTTCTTCCAGGAATTGAAAACAACGATACTACAAAATATTAATTAATTGTTGCAGCATGTCACGTTTCGATCCCATGATGCACTATTGTGGCGTCATCTATAGGAAACGCTATTATCAATGGGTTTTTGAAGTCTTGTGGAACTTCACAGGCAATACACACGTTAGAGGAGATCTGATCTGTACTACAACGCCCTCTGGTGTGCACCAAGTAGAACCAGGAAGCACGCTGAACCTCACGTGTTTCGGTAGACCTAGATCAGGACAAGTATTAGTCTGGTTCAAGGATGGAAAAACCATCACAAGTAACGTCACAAGTATCCAAAAGCCAGGGTCAAAGGTCAGGTCGATGGTGACCTTGATACAGAACGCGTCGACTGCAGATTCTGGGAGATATGAATGTCGAGACCAGGGAGGGAGCAGCCATGATGTCTGTGAATGGAGGCTGGATGTATTTGGTATTATTTTGAGAATCTTTACTGACTTTATTTACCTAGTGCTAGCTTATCTCAAGTTTTGAGACAATTATTGTTCACTGCTTAGCTAACAGAAAGTCGTGAATGGGGAGATTTTTTATGATTGAAAAAAAAAACCTTACCACCCGGTACGGTCATAGTACGGAAAACCCTCTTCAACCCGGTACGGTCAGGGTACAGATAACCCTCTGCCACCCAGTACGGTCAGGGTACAGAAAACCCTCTGCCACCCAGTACGGTCAGGGTACGAAAACCCTCTTTCACCCGGTACGGTCAGGGTACGGTAAACCCTCTTTCACCCGGCCGTACGGTCAGGGTACGGTAAACCCTCTTCCACCCGGTACAGTCAGGGTACGAAAACCCTCTGCCACCCGGTACGGTCAGGGTACAGAAAACCCTCT